CTGGTGATATAGAAGGTTCACCTGTCTGTGTGCAATGCTTCCCCTTTGTTTTCAAAGATTGCATGGAAAAGGTTAGAAATGACAGATTGGTCTTTTGTCAGAGTCTGCAGGATGGCACGGCAGTGGCCATCTGAGGATGGTGGGTGGGGGAGGGCATTGCCCTCTTTGTCCAGGCCCCTTTCTCACATGTGGACCACAGATCAAGTCTCCTAGGGTGATGTTGTTCCTGGGTGCAAGGAGCACTTTGCCCTCAGGGTGCCCCATTGTGAGGCCCTGACTGCCTCTGACCTGGTAGCCCCACAGCTTAGGAAATCACCCTTTCTTTCAGCCAGGAGCCTTGGGGTGGGGGTGGTCCTGGGCTTCCCCCTTTCCCTCCTGCAGCCTCAGCAAGTTGACTTGGCTTCACCTTCAAAGCACCTGGCTTTTCATGGTGGTGAGCTGTCCAGAAACAAACCCTATTCTCTTGGGAGCTTTAAGCTCTAAGGAGCATTCCTCTGAACCTGACCTTCATCCTTCATCCTTCCCGCTGGGATTTTCTTATAATATTATCACCTTGAACAGACTGAGCTGCTAATGGAGCCTTGGAGGGGCAGTGGGCTGGGGGCTGAGTGGGCGTTAATGGACAGTGGCTTTGACCCTTGGGTTACAGACAAGAGAGACTTTGGCTAGAACAAGAACACACTGAAGGGAAAGTGAAGGGATCTGTAAAGATGCCAAGGAGGGTCAAGGAATGAGTGGTAATGGAGGAGGGTGCCACCCTAGGCCTTGAGGAGCCCCATCCCCTGAAGTCTTCCCACAGAAATGGAACCCCATCCCCACAGCCACTTGGGGTATTTGGGCTTCCTTCTGCTGCTGCCTCTCATTCTTGTCCCACACCCTCCAATCTCTCACTTCACACTCCCCCTGGCCCCCATGTGCCCTCTCACGAGCCACCCAGGACCAGGGGCTCCAAGGCCCCACCTCACACTGTGCCTGAACGAATGATCCTGGGCCCTCAGTGCCATTACTGTTCAAGGTGGCAAGGTGATGGACCTGCTGTCTTGGGGCCACATTTGTAGGCCACCTTCTTTCTTCCACCTCTGTCCCTACCTCTCCTGTCAAAATGTACATGGAAAGGCCCACAACATACTACAGCTGGGTTTCAGATACAGATAGATGCATTCTCTCTGCAGGAGCTGGCTGAATCAGGAAGGTAGAGACTACCAGAGGTTGAGGGCCCACCTGGGCTGTGCCGGGGGTGGTGGAAGGTAGGAAGGCACCTGGGGTCCCCTTCCTGATGTCTCCGCTCGGTCTGGCCCTTAGTCCCTCTGGGTGTACGACCTTCCCCAGGGGTGAGCACACCATCCACCCAGTGCTGAGGAAGGCACTCTGGTGTACCACCTCACCCCCTGGGCCTGACCTCACCTTGTCTCTGGGCACTATGCCCAGTGTTTGTCCAGTCTGGTGGTTGTAGACTCAGCTCACCCTTCCAGGAGACTCACTGTGACCTCAGGTACCCACAGAGCCAACTGGACAAACTTCGTGAGCCCTTCTGGCTCTGGGTCAGGGATGTGGTTAAGATCTGGATCAAACAGACCTGTCTTCTCCCTCCTGCCGCCACTGTGGAGCAGGCCCAGAGCAGAGCCAGGGCTCCAGAAGCCTCACAGGGGCCAGCTGTACAGCTAGACCTCCTGGAGGAGGTGCCCCACAGGCTGGGGCTGGTGTGCACTAGCAGTCACTGCCACAGAAGTTGAACAAAGAGATGGTGGTTCTTGCCTTCAAGCCAAGGAAAGGTTATTTTCAGAGACATAGGCCTTGGGCAGTATTGGAGCTCTGAGAGTGGCTATTGATTATCCTGAAAGAATCAACCCCTCAAACTGTCCTTGGTGCAATGCAAGGACAAAGGATGACTGCAAACGGCTTTATGCAGGTATCCTCATCCTTACTTGCCTCTAGTTGCCTCTACTTGCCTCTCCACTCTGGGCAGTCTAGTGGCCACCAGAGCACCCAGCCATCCCATCCCAGGGAACAGTATTTGAGGAATGCAGTTGACATGCCCAGTGACTGAGCTGGAGGGGACTTGGTCTGGGCAGACAGGTCAGAAGTCCTGGTCTCAGACTCCCCATTGGAGCCCAGGGTTTCTGTACCAGCAAAGCTGCCTTGCACTCCACTCCTGGTTTGGATGCACCATCATAGAGGAGAAAACCACCCTCTAGGGCCAGAGTACAGTTGTGGTTGAAGCGAGTTCAGAAACCAGGTAGAGACACAGCCAGGGCTGCTGTGAACCACGGAGGCCTTGACAGGTCAGGCTGATGTGAAGCAACCACATTGCTGCCCTGTCCCTCCCTATCTTCTTTTCCCTTTGCATCTCCTTGTCACCCTTCCCTCCCTCACCCTGTCCCATGCCCTATGATCCTCCCCATGTCCCCTTGTAGCTCAGGCCTCTTACCCATTTCCCTCCTTCCAGAGTCTGCAAGGAACGCCATTCTCAGCATTTGAGCCACTCTCCCTAACAGTGCTGGCTTCTGCTGACTCAGTTGGACCACATTCTTGGAGCTGCACACTAACTAGTAGTGAAAAGGTGAAGGCAGATTCCAGATGTTAAGTAAGGCATGTGGGGTGTGGTGTTCAAAGTGCTGCTGAGTCAGTTGCACAGACTTGGGTCACAAACAGGCCACTGACTGTGGGAGTTCCCCACTAGCCTCCACCTTCTCACTGTTCTCCACGAGGCCTACAACTTCCCATGGGCCTGAGCCGCCTCTGTACTCGCTCCTCTAGACATCGACTTCTTTGGATACCTGCCTGCTTATCCCCATGCTGTCTCTGCCAATGACACATTCCCGAGGCCCCCACCCCCATCCCATCCCTCCATAGAGCCCACCCCCTCCCTGAGTCCTGCCCCACTTCACTTTTTGGTCTTTTAGCACTCACACACATTGTTTTGCATCTTTCCCATTGGAATGTGCTGTATCTTTGGTAGCCTCTACATTTTACCGGGGTGGAGTCCTTCCTCTCAAGGCCCTTGCGGTGTGTTTTGAGAATGTGATCATTGAGCTGTGGGTAGTGACAAGGCCAGCACCTGCCCACCCAGCCCATGTCACTGACCTGCTTGGGGACAGCTCCACGAAGACCCACGGACTCGTGGATCTCTCAGCCAGCCTGTCGCACCGACAACCTTCCACAGGCACTCACCCATCATGATGCTGGCCCTCATCCCACTTCCTGAGACCTGAAAGCGACCCCTCCCCCAGCTGCAGCCAGGAGGGAACTGCATACATGGGGCAGCTACTTTCCTTAAGCACAAAGGTGTGTGGTGACACTGCCAAGGTATGTGCAGAGTGCTCAGCCTGAAGATGACACAAATGCAGGAAATAGGCAGCACTGAGAGGATTCTAGCTTTCTAGAAAATTTACTTTATTAATAACATCTGAATGTACAAATGGAAAAAGAATAAATATTTCATCATTTTGCCCTGCTCATCTGTAAGGAATGTCACAGAACTCTACCTCACATCGAAGTCAGAGTGAAAATGACAAAGGCATGTTTTAAAAGCTTTGGGAAGAAAAGGCAAAGGAACACTGCCCGCAGGGCCCTAGAGCCTGCAGGCAGCCACCAAGGACATGATCTAGCTTCCAGAAGGTTCTGCAGATCCCCTGCTCTCTCTCACAGTCCACCAAGAACAGCACCTGGATTCCAGAGAGTTCTGCAGGCCCTCTATTCCTGCTATCCTTGGTCTGTCACCTGTCAGGTCCAGGGCCTGATGGGCCATATTCAAGATGCCACTGGAAGTGGTGGAATTGGCTTCCAGTCTGGGGAGCAAAATGCCAACTGGTGTGGCTGATGGTCTCACGCACTGTGGTGGGAGGAGATGGTGAGGCTGCTGGGTTAAAAAAAAAAAAGGGCCATATAGCAGCTTGAGATGGTGGGAGAGGTGCCACTGACGACATCCACTTGGGCCCAGCCCCGAGGCCGAGGCCACCCCTCAACAGTGTGTGTCCACATGGCCGGGTTTGTGTCCAGCATGCTTCTCTTTGGCAGAAATGCTCCTCATGGCAGCAGCGCTGAAGCACCTGGAAAGGGCATCTTCACGGGTGAAGATGATGAGCAGGCAGTTGATCTGAGATGCCCCTCGAAGCTGGTGTGTGTGCTGCTGCTCACTCTTCTCAGTGGTGACACGAGTGTCTGGTGGCCTCTCTGCCCACTGCTGCACTCTGTCTGAGCCCTCCTGTGGCTGTGCCACAGTGGGATGGTGTGCAGTTTAACAGGGCAGTGGAGGCTACAACCATGGGAGCAGCCATGGTGTAGGTTTGAGTGGATTCAACAGCTTATACCCTGCAGACAGCTCACTGGGTGCCTTTTGCCCTGAAGATAGTACTGTGGAACATTCTGGCACTCCCAACATCTTTTCAGGTCCCCCCAGGACCTCCCCCAGCCTGGCTCTGCCTCCCCTGGGCCCACAAGGAAACAGCAATCATGTGTGGCCCATAGTGGGAGGAACAGTGAGGATGGGAGTGAGGAAGCTTCTTTGGTTGCCACTGCATAAACTTAAAATCATCCCTCATACAGAGCCAAAGGACATGTGTGCATCGTGTCAGCCACGATGGCAAAGCAAACACCCAGGGCCCTTGACATCATCCACGACTTGTTCAGAATAAAGCAGGAAATGGGGACAGCCAGCCTGCCACGACTGATGCTACCAAAAATACTCTGTTTTCTCATCATCACAGCATGAGTGCCACTTCACAGACCCTGAATGGACACACAACTGAGATCCTCAGGAAGCAGCAATGCTTTTACCAGCAGATGCCACGTGAGACACACCCCAGCAGCCGCACACACCCCAGCCCCAGGATCTACCACTATGCACTGCTCTTGAGTGTGGCCTACTCTCAACCTGAGACCCTGTGATGGATAGCCGGTCTGCTCCCCACTACCATCACCAGCCAGCACACAGAAACCCCTCATGACCATGAAGGGTCTCCTTACAGGGAGCGTACCATGGGCCCAGGGAGGGTGTGGCACCACCTCAGTACATGATCTCCCAGTGGGTGGGCTGCTCGCATGCTTTCTCTTGGTCCCCACAGAATCTGTTGTATGTTGTCTTGGGGTCGAACCCCAGGATTTCTCTTTCTTCATGAATCCGGAAGGAAAATGTTGAGACTGAGGTGCCAATAAAAAACCTGCAGGGGAACATGAGAGGGTGAGTGGAGTTACACAGAACTAGCTAGTCACCGCCCCCCACCCCCAATTCCAGATACTCATGCAGTGGCCGTCCCTGTAATCCTGTGGAGCCTCCACCCTGGCCAGGTGCTCACCTTGTCCCTCCCTCTCACTTCCATGGCACCTCAGTGGTTCTTTTTACACAATGCTCAGCATATAATGAAAAATAAGGATACATGTGAAGAGGTTTCAGAAGCTAAGAACACAGGCTGAAAGCACATTTTAACCTTTTTTTTTTAAAAAAAAACAAGACTAGGAGAAACTGTCAAAAGCAGCCAGAGGATAAAAAGCCACGCTCCCTTCAGAAGGATAGTGCTCGTTATTTGCAGGACTGTGTGGAAGAGTTGACGTCCTCCACCAGTTTGGGAGTTCCTAGATATTCCCTTTTCATCTACTCTGGCCCAATTATACCTCTTCTCCTTCTGAGATCTCAATTATTACATATGTTGGATTGCTGGATTGTGTCCCACTTCTTTTTAAATCTTCATGCTTCAGTTCAGAGGTTTCCTGTTGCCCTGTCTTGCAGTTCACCAATCATGCTGTCTCCAGTAAGTTTTTTTTTTTTTTTATTGTTATTTGGATGATAATTTACAGAGCAAATACACTTTCCATACAGCAGATCACATACCCTTTGTCTCATAACATTGACCACAATTTAGCACAATGCAACATCTCCTCTCCCACTTCCTCCCGATAGGTACCACTTCCCTGTGACCATCCCTCCATGCACTCTTGCTCCCTACGCTGTCTCCCTGTGCGTAAGCAGCCCTTCTTTCTCCCATAATTGTTCTCTCCAAGGGGTGTATCTACCTCAGGTAAATGTTCAACTAATATGCCTATTGTTTGGCTGGAAGCCACAGATGTGCGTTCAATTCCAGACCTGAAGGGCAGCGAGGGGCCACAGTCTCAGTGGTTCCACCAGGCTCCATCGGGCCAGCAAACCTGTTCCCCATTTTTTTTTCAAATGATTTTGAGTTTTGTTCTACATTGTTCCCACTGTCTATCCAGGATCTCCTACAAAGATCCTCTTCCGAGTGGTTGACAGTAGTAGCGGAGCACCATCTATTTCTTCTGGTCTCATAGTCATATAGGCTGCAGATCGGATGGTGTTACCAGTCGCTAGGACTAATTTTTTCCATGAATTTTTGGTTTTCTTCATTCTTCTTGGCTCTGGACGAGGAGAGACCCATTGTTGCTTCTAGATGGCACCTTGCAAGCTTTTAAGATCTCAGTCACCACTCGCCACAGCAGGAGATGGGACAATGATTTGTGTAGTATGTTATGCCAATTGAGCTTGATGTCCTCTGCGACTATGGTCCCAAGCCCACAGGTTCAACTACTCGGTCCCTCTGGGTAGCTGGCTGTGACCAAGCAGTAATTACAACCTTGCCTCTTGTCAGCCCCATTATACACCTGGGAATTCAGATCATACACATAAAGTTATTGGACCACTGTCTGCCAACTCTATACATGTTCTTGGGTGCATACGCCACTTCATATACATAGCTAATATTTCAGCCTGTCCACCCATCTATCCACCCATATAACCCATGTAACTGAATTAATTTCAGTTATTGTATTTTACATATAATGTCAATTTTGATTCTTTTTTAATAGATTCTCATTCTGGTAAGTTCTGTATCTTTTATTCTTATTTTCTTTAACACATTAATTGCTATTATTTTAAAGTCCTTATCTGCTAACTCTAATACCTGGATCATCTGGGGGTCTGCTGCTATGATTTTTTTTCTCCCTCTTAACTGTCAATCACATTTCTTGCCTCTTCACATGTCAAGAAATTTATATATGCTGGACACGTGATAAATGCTGGGAATGTTTCTTGATTTGGTTGCTCTTGTAAGAAACCTAAACTCCATTTTTTGCTGCCTCATTTCTTTTCTTCAAAAATAGAAAACAAAACAACAATCAAACTCACTGCCATCGAGTCATTTCCGACTCAGTGACCCCCTCCTTTGGCTTTCAGAGGTGGTATCTCAATGGAAGTAGATTGTCCAATCTTCCTTTCAAGGAGTGGCTGGTGGGTTTGAACAACCAGCCTTCTGGTTAGCAGTCAAATGCCTTAGGCACTATGCCACCAGAGCTCCCTTTTTTCTTCCAGCCTCTGATTAAACATTATTTCAAATCAAGTAGCTCTGGTGGTGGAGGGATTAAGGCATTTGGCGGCTTAACAAAAGGTCAGTGGTTCCAACCTACCAGCTGCTCCGTGGAAGAAAAATGAGGCAGTCTGCTTCTGTAGAGATTTATAGCCTTGGAAACCCTGTGGAGCAGTTCTACTGTCCTAAAGGGTTGCTGTGAGTCAGAATTGACTCAAGGGCAGTGGGTTTGATTTTTGATATATTTAAAAACAGCAGGCTTGCTTGTTTTTCTAATTAACTCACACTTGCTGCCAGCTCATCCTGTCTCCAATCACACATTACATCTGTGAATTCATATAAAGACTCCCTCTCTTCCCTGCTAAATTCATGCCCTCAGACACCTAGTTTTCCCACCATTTGCATTAAATTACCCAATAATGCTTAAGCTTGTGAAATGATGTGTACTATTGCCCCGTGGGCCCTATTAAAACCTAAGCCCTGGTCCATTCACACTAATTCTTTCCTTCTTTGGCACCTGGGTGCACTCTGTATATGGCCCACAAGTGTGCTCCCCTCCAGGACCTGTGAACAATAACTGTCACTTCTTCATTTTGGTTGCTGCATGCTACAATGTAGCTTTGTAGCTAAAAAACCCCTCACTTAATATCCAGGCAGGCAGTCTCACCAGCTGACCCCACTGGGTGGCTGTGAGTTTCCTCCCATACTGGGCTCTCATTTACCTATTTATATTCATGTAATACTAACACAGTTATGGGTAAAAGAAATGTGTCTATACACTTTGTGGATATCTATTGAATTGTACGCTTAATTTCTGCATGCATATTAAATTTCAATTATAATATTAATATAAAGAGACAAACAGATTAACTCCAAGCAGGTCAAGAAATGATCAGAGGTAAGCCTCTGAATTAAGTCCTTTAATCTCTTACTAAGTAAAAAATAAATGCAAAGAGGAGACCTGAATGGTTAACAAGAAAAAGAGATGCTCAAATCTACTAGTAGACTGAGAAAGGGAAAATTAAAATGAGACCCCACTTTCTACCCCAAACTGGCAATAATCAGAAAGTTGGGTAACACTGAACATTGGCTATGGTGTGAGGGAACAAGAGGACTGGCTCATAGGTGAGCTGTGCAGGGTCCACTCTGTTGGCGTTTTCTGAAATCAATCATGCAACTGCCCCAGGATCCAACTCTCCCTTTCCTGCCTACACACCCCAGAGAAACCTTCTCTGAGGCACATAAAAGGACAGGCACAAGGATGTTCTCTGCAGTACGGTTAGTAGAGATGGAAAGTTGGAGGCAATCTTGGTTTCCCTATCACCAGCCATCCAAATAAGTGAATGGTTTTGGATGGATTCAATGAACTAGAGTGTGCACAACATGGACAGAGCTGCAAGTAAAGGGCTGAGTGAGAAAAAGGGAAGAAGAGAATAATAACCACACAGCAGTGTCATTCACATCCATTTCACACACACACAGCGGTAATGTATCTGGAAATTCTGAAAACAGAGGGAAAGTAATTTACAGTACTTGTATTTTCCATTTTGCTTAATGTGCTCTGACCTCATTCCAACCCTGGTCCTCCATATAAGACCCAGGCCTCACTCCCACCCAGCACTACCTCCCTTGTGAACAACCTCATGAAAATGGTGACAGAAGGGATGTTTCCTGACTCGTAGGATGTCCCGCATACTGTTTACAATGACACAATGATACATACTCAATGAAAAACATAGGCCATGCACCAGGTAGTTAGCAGGGTGGGGTAGACAGGAACAGGGATATGGAATGAAGGAAAAGTAAGACAGGACGAAAGGAGAGGGACTCTAGAAGAAGCCGTGGCAACAGCCTGCCATAGGCACTTCTGCAAATGAGACCAAAAGAGTGCAACGAGAGAAGAACAGCAGCCCAAGGAAACACCTCTGTAGAACGAGGAAGCAAACAAGAGAGTGGCAGTCAAGTGTGGACACAAAGATGCACTCGCTTTCATGACACTGAGTAGCTGAGCTGTTAAGAACCTTTTGAAAAACACCCCACACATTCCCTGCAAGCGCAGGCATGGGCAGCACCTGGCATGGGAGCAGATCCACTGGTCGATGATGGCAACGCCTCCATCTTTGTAGAGCTCCAGCTCCTCCCACGTGGGCTCAAACCTCACCATTTCGGGCAGAAGTTTCTTCAGCTCTTCATAGTCTGCAAAGTACAAGAAGAGGCCTGTGACTGGCACCCACTGTACAAACAAACATGCACTTGTAACAAAGGACATGCATGCTCTGCTATGGGCGAAAGCTTCAGGAAGAGGCCAGAAAGGTAAAGAGACAGTTAACGATGGAGCCAGTGGACTGGGCAGTGATAAGCACAAGCACAAAGTTGAGCTGTACCCTCCTGGGAACTGCATGAGAGAGGATTATGATGTATGCCTAGCGGAGTCCAAAAGAGAGGAGTACAAGTGAAAAGTCACCACGCCATACCCTTCCTCACAGCATCAGTAGCCACGAACACCTTTTCCAGGTGGTGGATCTTCATGAGGCTGCGGATCTTCTTCACAGCACCTTCCAGACTGGGCACATCCTCTCTGTGCCCCCAGATAAAGTCCTTCCTCCTCAGGTGAACGCCGAGGTAGGGACCCCCCAGCGAAGAACCCAACTTGACCTAGCAAAGAACCACCGGAACATGCTGAAGCTGAATCAAGGTTCTGCACTAGCGTCTGTGTGCAGCACGGGGCATGGGCAGGGCTGCTGAGAAGCTGGACTGGACTGGACAGGGCAGTGTAGGGGAGAGAAGCACCTCCTGAGCACATTGGGCCCTCAGGATGCAGGGGGTGATGCTCAGAATGGGGGGGAGCATGGGCACTTCCACCCAGTGTCCTCCAGGGCTGCATCTAAAGGATTCCTCTGGGTGGACTGGATGTCTATGTAAGACCATAAGGTGATTAGTTACCACGGATCCTTTGACACGAATGGTACACAAACAGTAAAGGAAAAACTTAAGAAAAAAAATGGATAAAAGAAAAACCTTCTATCTTTAATGTTTTTCTAGTAACTCTCTGCCGTTAAGTCAAACCCGACTCATAGCAACTTCTCCTTGGGTTTCTGAGGCAGTATCACTACGGAAGGAGATTGCCCAACCTTCCTTCCGAGGAGTGGCTGATGGGTTTGAACCACCAACCTTCTGGTTAGCATTCAAATGCCTTAGGCATTATGCTACCAGAGCTCCTTTTCTAGTAAAGACTAGCCAAATGACATAATATTTATTACATGGAAAATATTCCATTTGCCAACAACCCAACTGTTCCATAAAAGAACAAACAGCTAGGAAACGTTTGCTGTTAAAAATAACATTTTATAAAAAGGGATCATCAAAATGACTTCATAATAATGTTGAAAATGTTTCAAAAGAACATTCATTTTAAGAAGTACAATGTGTTTGTAGAGACCACACTGTAGGAAAAACTAACCGTTCAGAGGAAAAAAAGATGACACTGGAACAGAATGGCAATCACAGCACTGCGAGGTGATCTGGGTCAGTGCAGTCCTTTCTCCTTCAGTGCTCATGCCATGCAACAAGAGCACTGAATACGACTCTTTCACCTCCTTTTATTGTTACTTTCCCATTTGTCATTTCATTTTCTTCTAAACACAACTCTCGTAGGTTGCTGGGATATATAACAATCCCATCTTACTGGAGAGTAAGTGAGATGAGTGAGTCCCCTGACAGGGGACCCAAGTACTGTGAGGGGATGGAAGCATTCCTGTGATGGAGAACACGCTGTCTCTGCTCTGACTTCCCTATATTCAGGGTGAGTTACTGTGCTTCTACAATAGTCACCGACAAATCCTCTTGTTAAGAAAAGCTGGGAAGCTACCTTCATCTTGGTCCAGTCCTCCTCAAATGGGATCCTGTCAGATTCGTCAGTGGAGTTGAGGTGGCGGCTCCTGAACTCATCTCCTACCACCCGCAAGTGCTTGGCAAACACCATGCTCCGCCGGGTCTGCGAGGCCGAGAGGAGAGCTGTTGGGTACGCCAGGGGTTCCAGAGCACGCACTTGGGTCAGGGCGCACCTCCAGTGTCCGAGTGGGTGCTCCACACACTGGCACAACCCGCCATTCCCAGGAGGTGCCACTTCTCACTCCTACCCCTACCCCACCTCGGTTCATGCCCTATCAATAATCACCATAAGAAGCAAAGCTGTCTGGCCACAGAGCATCTTAAAAGAAACGCCAATGACAACGACAGCATCAGTGGAGAGTCTCATAGTGAGCAGGGTCATAAAGTAAGTTCATAGGATTAAATCTATCTTAGTTAAGTTGCAAGTAGGTGATTGTAACCAAATTTAATTAAGAGGAAGATAAATAACACCCCCTATCCCAGGAGCTGGGGAAAGCTCTGGCTGTGGGTAGGATGCAGCCCTGACCAGGCTGCACTGAGGTTCCCACAGACAAGGGTTGAGGGGAGTAACTGCCCTCAGAGGCTGATGGTGGTGGGATAATGACATGGGGAATAGTAACAGCATTATTATGTTGAAGATAACGATGACAAAGCCAATAGCAGCAGAGGCATACTGATCAGATACTCAATGGGGATAGGCATGGCCAAGGCACTGTCCCTGCACTAGGACAGCCACGCTAACACAGGGACTATATTACTAGTAAAGGTCATGTACCCAGAGCAAGGGTCTCATTTGGGACCCTGCTCACATGCCTAACCTCTGCCCTACCCAGCCCGCCCCACCCCCCGGGATCCCTGAGAGCCAGGAGGTTGGGTGGCTCCCAACCTAGGGCTCCAGTGTGGTTGGCAGAGGGGACTCAAAACCCATCTCTTCTGGCTCCCTGGACCCACAGCCTCTGAGTCACAGGGTGGGGAAAAGCACCAAGCCACAGCATACCCCTGACAGGTAGTCACTTGACCTGCAGTTAGTGTGCCCCCACTGACCATGTTCAAAGTGAACTCAGTAGAAGGTACACAACACAAACTACTTTTTTTTTAAAAAAAATTAAATATTGTGTTGAGTTCCCAAAATCTAGCTATTACAATCAACAGCCCAGGAAGTTAACACCATATTGGAGAGTGGGGCCTCTGAGGCAGGTGAGAATTGGGCCTGGGGAGAAGCTGCACAGAGCCAAGAGTCTGCAAGGAGGGAAGTGCCTCAAAGGAACTGTCTTCCTAGTTCCGAGGACACCCTGAGAGTGACAGGGGTCCGGAGGGTGCTTCCACCCCGGGCCCTTTGTAGGAATGAGGGATGGACACCTGCTCTGGCAGCATTCCACAGCTATCTTTCCACCTT